CCTTGTGGCCATGGCAATGAAAAAGAGGACAGCCACGAGAGAGAATTAGGTGGCAGAATCGATGGGTTCGAAGTGCTAGAGATTCGAATGAGTAAGATGTAAGCCTTGCCCTCGATGAATTAACAATCTAGTAAGGAAAACGTGTAAAACTACCAACCTTACTGTGCTATGTTATATTCAAAGTGCTATATTCACAATAGAGTTATCCTATGAGTCCTGGACTCCTGCGGAAAATACAGGAAATTTTTTTCTGGGAGAATTTTCAACAACTGGGAGAGTTTCAATCCCAATTATTCTTGTTGTGGATGATTAGAAAAGCAAAGAACATAAGATTAGAAAAATATGAAGATGTAGTTGATAAAGCAGATGGCAGGAAAAGAGAAGACATTTTTGCAATGAAACTTGAAGAGAGATGAGGGAAGGCAAACCCAGGCCCCAAAACCATAGTCTGGCAACTCCTGTGGGGAGGAAGAAAGCCAGAGATGTGTGGAGCAAGCCGACAACATCTGCTTTGGCACGGAGTGGTGCTGGGCAACAGCACTAAGCTGCACAGTGTCATTCTGGGTATTCGGGAGTGTATTTGAGAAATGCCTGCCAAGAATAGCAAGTTTCCCCAAATCTTCTTCCATCTCACGCATCCAGATTATTCCGCATTTCTGCAGTCTTTGCAGAACTGAGGTGACAGAGTTATACAAGTCTGAGTTATAAAGTGTAAGCCTGCAGAACCAGGCACAGAAAGGGAAAATACATGCACATATTTATGTATATATCATTTGCAGCAATGCAAAATTAATTTGCCAGCAACATATGAGACTGTAGGGGAGAGGGATTCTGTCTAGCAAATAAGGGAGGGTATTACTGGGAATTAATAGTAGTAATAATAGTAATTAGTAATAAATTATTTAAAGGGGTTTTTGTATTTTCTCTCTTAAGTATGCTTTTTCTTTTAATAAATATAAAAATATAAGGGATTTCATAGGTTCAGTTCTGACCTGCTTTCCCTAAAATTTTATTTTCTTTCAGGTCTTTAATTTGAAAATTACAGATTCTATAGAACTCTAAGAGTTTCATACATGCGAATATATATGGAAACCCAGAAGAGTAAGGAATTCATTCTGCCCAGAAAGGAACGTAGGAAAGGGATACAAGGAGAAGTAACATTTCAATTGGCCCTTTTGAATGAGAAGGATTTCACCAAGGAGGCAGTAGCAGAAATGAATTCTAGGCAGAGGTAATGGCCTTATGGAAGCACGAATATGCATAGCATGTTCAGGAACGGCAAGTAACAGTTCGAGGTGGCTAAGGCATAGGTTGGCTGGAGAGTGAGAAGAAGGGGTAAGAACCGAAGCTAGAAATATTTGTCAGGGTATTCCATGAAAGGCTCCGGGGAACTCAGTTGGATAACCCGACTAAACTTTTGCCAGAGGTTAGATTTAAAACATTAGGAATGAATGAGGCCTGCTAAAATTGGAGTTGTTCTTATTCTTCTCAAAGATGGTAGTAATTGTTGAATTTATGAGAGTTGGTGGAACAACCCTGAAGGGTTCCATTATTCCCATGAAAATTAGTAGCTCTTGTGGTAAGGAAATGTTTTAGGAATTGTTGATAATAGATATGTCGTCAACTTCCAATTGCATAATGCCCCTAGAAAGATCCAAATCTTTTTCATGTGTTTCCTTTCATGCTCCAGAAATAGTATTGGCAAATGTTCAGAGAAGGCAGAAATTTGCCAGAGCATGCTCTTTAAAACCCTAGCTCACCTCTTTATGGAAGCAATCTTAGACAAATCTCTTGCATGTCATTCAGATTATATTACTTGACTTTGGTGTCTATCTGCATCATGTGATGAATTATATGCATGTTTAGGAAAAAAAGAAAAGCTTTTGTCCTTTTCTATATCTTGCTCAAGTACTATAATTTGACCCGAGTCATAATTTTGATATTCACCTTGCTTTTAGTCAAAACTTTTACTTCCAGGTCTTTATTATCACTTCCACAAGGGATTAAGAAACATCACAACATATGAATTGAAATACTCTGTTGTTTTAAAAAGCATAAATTCATGAATAACATTGAAGATAAAAAGTAGTGCTATTTATAGACCTTAAGCTCAATCTTCCTCCCGCTTAAAATCAAATCCATACATCATTCCAGCTAGGACTTTAACATAGTTAAACAATACAAGTGACAGGATCTTAAAACCATGGAAAATGCCATTATTGTTTTAATCAAATCAGATATAAAAACTTAAGCCTGGTCAGAGCTGGATGACAGATTTCACTAATGGAATATAGGGCCTTTGCTAACTGGTTATTTAGAGTTACCCCCAAACTGATGTTGATTATGTTTCAAATTCCAAAGCTTGCTCATGTACCTAAATACTAATGCTTTCCCTCTTCCCTGACTACTAACTTCCTGAAGGAGAGAAAGTTAGTAATGGTCAAATTTTTCCACAGCTTGTTGGGAGGGCTTAGTAATGGAAAATAAATAAGGGGCTTTGGTTTACCTCAGTTGGCCAGCCTAAAGCCCACAGTAAAAATCTAGAAACAACACTTCATGTTACCAAGGAGCAGGATGGAATCAGTTTGATCGTGCAACTCCAGGACACACTGAGTTATGTCTCTTTCAGTTACAGTTATTACTGCCAATGGCATCTTGTTATGTGGTTCCGGAATAGATTCTATATAGGGTACCTGAAGGTCCTTCCCCTACCCTGCCAACCAAACAGCCAGTGCTATTTTTACATAGAGCCAGGCAGCCTGTAATTTCCATGACTGTTATTTAGAATGAGTTGGCAAGTTCAAACCAGATTTTATGAACATCCCTGGCATTGTCAGTAAAGACCAGAAATTGAGCAAAGTTGCTTTTTCTCAAATGCATGAAAGGTTTTTTTTAAGCATCTGTATAATATTTTTATAAGATTATTAAAGGATATATTAGATTGATTTTTTAGGCTAAGTATCAACCAAGGATCATTTTTATTAAACAATTCTTCACCTGTAATTAGATTTCAAGATGTGAAACTGTTTCTGTTGTCTTCAAAGAGCTAATTTTGGATGTATTTTGAGCTGCTTTTTATATGCTTTAATAAAGCATGCCTATTCATCAAGGCACCTATTCTATTGACCAAAGTCAAGGTGTAGATGTTTTCATTCTGATTATTTATTTTCACTTTGGAGCACCAAGGCTATGCAAGACCACTGACACTTCCCTCTACTCACTTCCTCAACCATCACAGACTCCTTAAGCTGTAAGGAGTTTCACAAATGAAGAAATTAATATTCAGGGGAATTAGCTGATTTTTCCCTTCCCAAGTTTGCATAGCTGGTTAATAAAAGAACTAGAACTAAAACCCAGGTCTCTTGCATTCTGTTACATTATATCTTCTGTGCTAGAGGGAAATTAAGTGTATCTCCTTCCTTTATTTTTCTCCTTCTGTATTTGGAGACTTAATTCCCCCTTGGTGAACTGTTGAAAGCAAGTGAAAAATACAGTTCATTTCCTAAATTAGGAGTGAGAGATCTCAGTCTATGAGCTGTTTTTCAGATCTGCCCTGTTGACACAGAAATGTATTTTTATTACATTTGAAAGAGAGAACACAATAATAGTAAATCCTCTAATTCAGGCTCTTCCCCACACACATGTACTCTTTTAGTTTTAAAAAGATGAAGTAAGTGGGTCACCAATCAGGATAATTGACCAGGTATTTAAAATATATTTTAGATGATAAATATAAGAGCACATATGTCCTTTTGAGTGATTGATATCATATAACTCAGAAGAATTTTAATATAAATTTCTTTTTACTTTCTTTCCTCTTGTGTTAAACATTAGCATTGCAATCGGCCAAAAAGCGTATTCCATCAGAATGTTTGGTTCTGTTCTTTTATGCAAAAAATATCTTAGCTGTACATAGTCTTATTAAGCATATGGAAATATTATGTCAGACAAGCACTTTACTGAAAATAAAATGGATTTCTAAATATAAATATGCATTCTTTTAATGATCATCAAACTCACTCCAAACGTGCATTTCGATTTGTAGCCATATGTGTATTATTTTTAGAGAGCTTTTAACTCTGAATCATTTTTTGCCTTAACTTATCATCGAATAAGAAATTTCTAATGGCTGAAATGACATCAATAGTTCCTTTTTCAAAGAGTCAAAGAAAAGATAGTATGATTAAAAAATGAAGGTTTTTTTTTTAAAAGATTGCTATTTTGTACTTTTGCATCACCCTATTTGTTTTGGCAAATTGTCACTTTATTTAAAAATTGTTTCAAATAAAAAGGACTCTGAACACAGAATGATTCCATTAGAAGTCAGGATAGTAGCTCCCTTGATAGGCATAGTGACTAAAAGCAGTCCCAAGGGTACTATTGGGTGCTGGTGATACTCTACTTCTTTAGGTACTTGCTACTTGAACACTTGCTGTGTTCAGAGCTTAGTGACACAGTTATGTGAACATTGCTGTATGTATATTATATTTCAGTGCAAAGTAGAAAATAATTAAGATGCCAAAATAAAGTCTACAAAACTTGCCCTATACAACTTATAAACATAGTACTAGTAGTGTCGTGTGCTACTTATGATTGGATTCCAAATGTAAAAGAATAGACTGAAAAATTTGACAGATTGCTCTAATATTTTTTTTAAAGTTTTTAAAAACTTTTTCTCTACTCTGCCAGGAATTTAGATGTTAAATTACTAAATCTTTCACCAATTCAAGGAAAAAATATATAAACTTTAATTATATTTGTCATTAGGGTAAAAATAGGACCTCACCTTATTTTCTGAGTTTCTGAAATGTGGAATCTTTTTTGTCCTCAAGTATAGTCTAAACATAATTATATAGACTGTCTTTTAATAAAATGAAGTATAATTCACTTCTAAGTAAAGCATTCTTCGTATTTGTGTGGTTGATAATAGATGACTCGTTATTTTTTCCTATGACTTGGAAACAAGAGAAAATATTTACTTTGCAAATCATCCTTGACAGGTTGCCTCTGCCAGAGCAGACATTCATGGGCTACTGGACAATTGGTCAGGCAAGAAGTGGAATGCAAAAACTCTTGTGTCCAGCGGAAACTCATCATGTAGACATAAAGGTTGATATCTTTATTCTTTCCTCTTAAGATATTGAATCTTACAAATTTTTCTATATCTTCTTCCCTGGAGAAAATCCATACAATCTCAGAAATGATTTGTTCTGATGTTATTTTAGCTCCTGCTCTAACTTTCAAATCAAATGGCCTCTGAATAGACAATGCCTAATAGCCAGATAGAGTTTTTAAGAGTTAATCTGTATTTCAGGTGAGTCAGGTATGATATATTTTCCTAGGACAGTTAATCTGTGTTATGTGTCTTTACTTTGTGTTTGCTAATGGGGTTAAAACTTTGTGCTTTTTGAATTTCTGGCTTCTTTTTAGCCACACATTGTTGATAAGTGCTGTCTTTGTGTGAAAAGGTAAAGGAAAGGAGTATCAGTCACGAGTTGTAATAGAAATCACTCTAGGTATTTCGAGCAGAGAGGGATTTACTGTGGGAAATTAGGTGTCTATAAAATCATTAGAAAGAGCAGGAGGAGCAGAAGTCGAGGGTAACACTGGGCTTGTAGTTTCAAGATCAGTGTTTCTGCTTCTGCTGCCATCCCTGCCACTGGGGGCTGCACAGTAAAGCAGGGTCAGCAAACTTTTTCTCTAATGGGCCAAACAGTAAATACTTGAGGCTTTGTGATCATATGGATTCTCTCACAACTACTCAACTCTGCCATCATAGCACAAAAACAGCCTCGGTAATACATAAACAAATGGATGTGGCTGTGTTTCTCTAAAATTTTATTTACAAAAACAGGCAGTGGGTAACACGTGGCTTGTAGGCCATAGTTTGTCAACCCCTGCAATAGAGCATAGAATCTGATTGCTCATATTTGTCAGCACTTCCTGGTCTGCTATCACTGCAGGAAGATGGCCACTACCTCTCTTCTCTCTTCCACATCTCATGCAAGTGCATTTAATTGGCAGAAGTTAAATCACTTCCAGAGCCCTTTCTCAAGGGAGTATGAGAAATGCAGTTTTTAGTCTTCCAGCCCCCTGAGATACAGACTAGATAGAAAGGGCGGAGGGGGGCATGTGTACCAATATCTAGCCAAAACATTTTGATTTATTAGGGACTGTAAGGCATGTAAATCATTGAAATTTTGGTTACAATATAGCATTCTTTCAGGACGTCATAGCTAAGTATCCAGAACTAATATCCATAAAATTATTAAATTACCTCCTCTGCTTATGTTTATATTGAATAATTATTGCTGTGTGTGAAATACTCCACCTCTCTTAAATAACACTATCAGTTATGAGTAAGTTTGGATTTTTTTATTTTTTAATTTCAAATGTCACTTTTTTTTACATTTAATTTAAAAGACTCAGCTTCAGCCATTACATTTCTATCTAATGATATAAGAATACTTCTTCACAATAGAAATGTATCAGGCTCTGGCTCATTCATTTACAAATTCTCCTGGTTTGGACAGCTCTGAGTACATATACTTGGAGTTCAAAACTGGCTCTTGGCTTAGGAAGGAATGAAGTAATGAGAAATCTTATGGGATTTTACATGTGGTAAATTTTGTAAGTAAAAAGAAAAAGTGAGAAATAAGATAGCACATGTGAAAGCATTTATAAATGCAAGTATAAGGTATTGTTATTATCGTAAGTACTATGCCAGTCAAAAAATTGAAGCTATTGAATACTTGGATTTAAATTCTATATTTTGGAAGGACATTAGCTTTTCTACATTTTGATGACTACCCAAATTTCTTAACTGAGATAACTACTTTATTATAGGGTCCAGTACTTATAAACATACAGGAATATCCAATAGAAAGACGTGAAGAAAGATCCCTAAACTTTACTGAAGAATGTGCCTCCTGGAGGTTACCATTGGATGAAATTAATTTAATCTGTGACATTGCTACATCACCTGGTATGTCAGCTTATTCTTTTGATCTTTCCTTCCTGCGTAGTTTTTTTTTTGAAAAGGAGATTAAAATAATCTCTAGACATCAAAAAGTCTATGATAGACGCAGTGACTATCTTTCTTGGATTGTATAGCAATTATATGTAATTTAAAAATAATTTCCTCTAACAGCCTAACACAATGCTATTATGGAATCCACATAAGCACTGCTGAGTTTGTATGCATATGTCTGTTTCTCATTACAATTGTAGCATAAAGTTAAACACACCCAGGCATGTGCTAAAAATAGAAGGGAAAAAGAAAAAAGAGAAACGTTGGATTTTTTTTGGCTGAGATTCCATTTGGGTGATTACATGAACCATAAAAGTAGGGCTGCAGTGATTTGCAGTCATTAAACTTTTCATTGTAAAGAATGGCAAATAAGGGATGTGAATATTTGGCATCTACATTTCTGGACTATTGCCATTACCTACTGATTCATGCAGTGGGCCTTGGAGTACCTTTTGGCAAAAGTTCCTCTATTGATGTAGGTACTAAGGTAATATAAACAGAAGTGGTGGCTGGGGGAGGGGAGACAGTGTCTAACTTGACTAAAATGGGAATTGTTAAGGCAAATATCAGTATCTTGTTTGTGCCTATAAATTCTATGGAAATTGTTTATTCCCCAAATCAGCTATTTTAAATAAAAATATGTGCTTTTAAAGAATGTACAGGGTTTTGTTTTTTTGGAAAAGATTGGTAAAAGACACATATAGATTATGTATCTATATGTTTAAGCCAAAGACTGAACTGTACTTAATGCCCATAATAAGAGAGAACAATTAATAAGTTATTAAGTACATTTCTGCTAACATTTTTACTATATTTCTGGTCCCCTGTAGTATGCAAGAAGATGCTCAATAAATGTTGACTAGAGCATATTTGTGTTGATAATGGAAGCATTTGGAAAGATCCATAAATTATAAATTCTGTGACTCTATCTGATATTTGGAACTGTAACACACAGAGTCTGCATTGTTTTCTAAATAATACGAGTCTTCTTCAGCCCTTTAGTTGACTTGTGTTTCTTATCAATGTTAGCTTATTTATTTCAATTTACTATATCAGTATATATATGTATAATATATGTGTATATAATATTGTATATATATATAATATTGTAGACATGGCACACACTCACACATACACACACATACACAAATGTTTCAGATTTTCCAGGATAGTCCCAAATTTAAATGTTGTATCTCATTGTCCTATCTCGTGTCTTAATGTGGGGGTCAGAAAATATGACCACTGGATGATGGGTGACACTGATAGACACCTGGATGATGGGTGATGCTGATAGCATTTATTATACAAAATCAGCTTAATTCCTTGCCTCAAAGGTGCTCACGTAAGAGATTATGAGAAACTTAGTCCAGAGCCTTAGCTACTCAAAGGGAGGACCTGAAACCAGCAGCAGTGGCATCTCTTAGGAGTTTATTGGAAAGACAGAATCTGAAACCCCACCCTAGACCCCCTAAATCAGAATCTGCATTGTTATTAGGTCAGCAGGTGACTCATAGGCACTTAAAATTTGAAAAAGCACTGATACAGAATTCAGAAAATGGACTTTAGCAGATACTCAGATTCAAAAGAGATTTTTATAATAAGAAATACTCAAATGTGAACAAGAATTTGGAAAAGAAGATCCATAGAGCAAAGATTGTAAAAAATGGGATTACTTAACTGTCTGGAAAATGCCAGATTAGCAAACAGATGGTGTTGACCAACTGTTGTCCATATGAACCAACAAGAGAACAGATCTTCACCAGAGCACAAAGTACTTTGCGGTCATACAAGGAATAATTTCCTGACATTGAGGATTGTTAAATATTTAACGGTGTTAGCTCAAGATATCGTGGCATTATTTTGGGAACAAATAGATAATTAATTTTCTTAAGTAGATAGGTGTGGCCCTGTCTACATTTAAGATAAAAACTAAGTTGCTTCTCATGGCCAATCCATCTACAAATCGTCTGCTGAGGTGCAACTGTGTGCTCAACCTCATGATTCAGTTTTCACAAGGCCTCTTGACCTACTTTTCTCAGAAAATTGGTTGCAAACTACAAAATGGACACCTTTTTGTCATTTCAGAAAATGAGGAAAATACTCTCTATGTAGCTGCATGCAATCCTGTTTCCTTATACTTTATGAATATGACTGGGAAAAGTGGCTACTTTGTGGACTTTTTTGACATCTTCCCAAGAACAGCTAGTGGAGTTTGGCACCCGTTTGTGACAGTGGCACCGCTGGGAAGTCCCCTCAAGGGTCAAGTGATTCTCCATGAGCAGCAGGTAATGCACACCAGGCTACTCACAGGCTACAATTATGTGAATAGCATCTTATGTGAAGGAAAAGGCAAGAGTGATTAGCGACCTGTGACTGAAAGTATGCGCTTTCATAAAGATCAAGGAGTGGGCTAGAGGGAGGGGTCAGGAGTTATATTTTGTCAGTACCACAAAGGCTAACATCTTCCTCCCTGCAGAGATGTCAACATGACCTGTAAGTCTGGAAACAGGTAAGTCAGGGGTCTTCAACCTTGACACTATTGACATTTGGGGCCAGATGATTCTTTATTGTGAAGGTTGCACTCTCTTTGGGAAGACAGACAGTAAACAGGTAAGCCAACATATAAACATACCAATTTCAGGTAGTGATAAGTATTATATGTAGAAACAGAATAATATCTGAAGGAGTGATGGGGATGTGGTAGGAGGAGGTGGGAAGGTGAATAGTATTAAAATGAGTACTGAGGTATCTCATCTTAGAAGATGACATTTTATCTGAGACTGGAACAACATTTTTTATGTAGAGATAGCCACGCAGATATACTGAATGAAATACACAGAGATCTGTTAGATCTAATGGTGCTCAAGTTCCACCCGTCACTAGTATGGATTAGTGCACTAAGATTGCACTAATGGAAGGTCCAGATGCCCAGAGTCAGGCTAAAAATAATTCCAAACACAAGATGCACGTCAAAAGACAGGTTGCGTTTCAATTAGTTAGAATTCTAAAGCTCTGAATTAATCTGTACTATATCAATAGAAGTGAGTCTAATGTATTTACCTGATATTTACCAAGTACTATACTAAAGCATATTATTCATTCAACAAGTATATATCATGTGCCTACTATTAGAAATACCGCATTGAATAAAAACCCCAAAATCCTTGTCCTCAAAAGCTTACATTCTGGTGCAGGAAGGCAGACAATAAGCAAAATGAATAATTAAAGCATATCTTAGGGGAGAAGATGAGAAAAAAGAGAGAGTAAGATTGCAATTCAAAATAAAGTAGGCAGGGATTGCCTAACTGGTTGAGGGTGATAGTTAAACAAAGACTTGATGGAAGTGAGGAGGAGAACAGATATCTGGAAGAAAAGAGTTCTAGGCAAAGGGACTAGTAAGTTCAGAGGCCTAGCGGCTGGAACATGCCTCTTCATTGTTAAACAAGTGTGGTGGGGAATATTGAATGAGGAGGGTAGTAAGAGGTAAAGAGGATACTCAGTGGGTTGTGGTGGGAGTGAGGTGGAGGGGGCAGTGGGAAACAGATGGTATAGAGTCTTCCAGGCCATTAAAGTTTGTAAGCCCTAACTATGAATGAAAGGGGAAGGCATTAGAAGGTTTTGAGCTGAGGACTAGCATGATCTGACTTATATTTTTAAAGGATTTCTCTGGTTGCTTTGTAGTGAATAGTCTATAACTGCTAAGGCAGAATGAGAGAGGCTAGTTAAGAGATTTTTGCAATGACCCAGGCAAGAGATAATTATGGTTTGGAAGAGGGTGGAGCTCATAAGTAATGACAGATTCTGGATGTATTTTGAAGGTAGAACCAACAGGATTTCCTAACAGATCAAATATATGGGTTGAAAGAGAGTAGAGTTAAGGGTAACTTTTAAGATTTTGGGCCTGAGCAACTTAGATAGGGTTGCCATCAACTGAGATGGGGAAGGATTCAGTTTGGGAGGGAGTCTCAGATGATGTTAGATTAAATTTGTGATGTCTATTAAACATCCAAGTAGATGTTAAGACTGGAGTTCAATGGAGAGGTCAGAACAGGAAATACAAATTTGGGAGTCATTGGCATATAAATGTTACTTAAAGCAAAGAGACTGAAAGAAGTCACCAAGGGAGTGAATGCGGGTGGAGAGGAGAAGTCCAAGCACTAAGCATTGGGGCAATAAAATATTAAGAAATTAGGAAAATGAGGAATCAGTGACAGGGATTGAGAATGAGTGGCCAGTGGAGTAGATGGATAAATTAAGGAGTGTGATATTCTGGAAGGCAAGAGATGAATGTCTCAAGGGAAAGGATCTACTGTTAAATGCTGACAATGTGTCAACTGAGAGATTACTTACATTATCTCATATTATTCTTCTGACTCCCAAGTGAGATAGCTGATATCCATATTTACATATAAGGAAACTGATGCTCAGAGAGTTCAAGTAACTTGTCCAGCAGATACACAGCAGAACTGAGATTCAAACCAAATTGGATTGACCCTACCAGAATTAAACTTCACCTACTCTCTCACTCACTACAGATCTTAGGGAAAAGATTAATTTGAAAAATTAAAAAATATTCATAATAGGGGATATTTTTTAAATACTAGAAGAAATATTGTTAGTTATAAGAATTTAAAGGGAAAACTTTTACCAAGAAACAATACTTTTAGACTGTAATCTAATCAAGAAGGAGATATTACATAAATAACATGTCAATAATTCCCTGAGGAAATGTCAACTTTAACTTTAGTCCTTGCCTATATAATTTTCATGAATACTGAGTCAATAAGGGTTTTTCAGGTTTTGTTTTTGCATTTTTTAACTTTCACTTTCTCCTAGAAGCAGAATTTATAAATATCTCGATATTGCTTATAAAAATTTGTGTCTGGAAAATTGGAATGAAGGTTTTACTTTATAGATTTCCAACAAAATATCAATGCCATTGAATTAAATTCTATAACCAGAACAATCTGTCATAAATCATGATGTTTTGGTGATTTATAATTCAGTAACCGAATCAAATTTGAATGAGAATCTAAATTTGGAGTATTTATTAGGTGTTGCCAAATTTTCAACTGTCAAATTAACTATCAAATTTACATATACAAATTCTTTTTTTTTTTATATGGAAAAGGCTGTGATTTATTGCAAAGCAGAATATACA